TTGAGTTGTTGACATACCTGGCACCTGGCCTGGCACAGGGTAGAGCTCAGTTCACGCTGTCAACTGATCTGGCTCTTTCCATTTTTATTTCTCTTTTTTTTTTTTTTTTTTTTACTGTAATGCTAGGAGTCACCACAGGGAACAGAGAGGGACCTTTAAGAGGCTTCCAGACATTTGGAGGGGTCTATGAGCCAGCTCCAGGGATGGAGTCAGGAGTTCTGCAGAACTTCAGATGGGGCCGCACCCACGTCGGCTCTGACCAGTGCAGGAAGGAACGGGGGTGGGGTGGGCAAGGGGGGGGACATTTCAGCACGCTCACCATCCCCCTCGAGGCTGGGCTCAGTGACTGAGATCACAGAGCCTGGCTCATACCACGCTCCAAAAATCTGAACATGGCTTTAAGGGACCTCTTGGCTCTTTCACTGAGCCCCACCAAGCATGTGGGGTGCAGAGGCCCTCAGGGAAAACCCTTTGGGAGACCTCCCCTGATGGGTCACCGATGAACCAGAGCTGTGTGCAGGCAGAGCTGACCACAGGTGGCCCCATGCCGAGGCCCCAAGGCAACAGCTGGCCCCAGAGCCCCAGAAATGGAAGGCATGGGCTTGTGTGACCCTATGATTAAGGCCCAGATTGCAATATGAAGCCACGAGCAACCCTCCCCTGTGTCGTTAGAAGAGCTCACTCTTTCCTAAAGAAGCAAAGGAGCTGGAGACGCAGGGCGCTGTTAGATTCCAGGACCCTCCCTCCTTCTCTCTGGCTGGGCTATTGGGCTGCTGGGCAGAGCAGCCCTGAGAGGATGTGGAGGTGCCACTGATGGGCAGAAAGGGTCTCTAGGGTCAGCTGGGGTCAAGCAAAAGGTTGTCCTTATGCTTCAGAGCATCTGTGAGGCTTCTTGCTCCCCACTCCTCAGGTGGGACTGCTTCAGTATCCTCTCCCCAACCCCTCCTGGCTAGGGGGGTGCCAGCTCCGTGGAAAGGAAGTCTGCGAGTGCTTCAAAGGAAAAATGACTTTTAGAACGTCCACACATATCTGAATGCCTTACCCAGACACCATTCTAGCTTCTACACAGATGAGGGGATGCTTAAAGCAATCCATGGACGTGCTCAGACACAATATGCTATTTGATGGTACACACACACACACACACACACACACAAATAATAAAAAATAAAATAAATTTTAAAAAGGTATTCTTTTGCTCCCCACGTCCCCAGCCTTCTTATGTAGCCCCCAAATGGCAGAAGGTTGGGGAAAGGGAGGGAGGGGGAGGGAAGACCAGCCTCCTAACAGGAAGCATTCTTCCTTGGAATCAGGGTCCATGCAGGGGAAGGGCAGGTTTCTGGAAACGGCCATCCCTGCCTCCATCTTTCAACATTTCTTCTCACAGATCCATACCCATCTGCACAGCCCAGGGAGCCACACAGAGAGGAGAAAAGCCCGTTTATTTCACGTTTTGAAGGCACTGGCTTTTAATGTTCTTTGAGCTCTGGACTTAGATGAACTGCATAGCTCAGGGCCTGGTGGTGCCAGGAAAGAGGGGCCAGGGAGGCACAGAAGCCCAGGATCCAACAACTAGCCTCTCCAACCCCAGGTCCGCTCAGAGCAAGAGCTGTGTTGCCTGGGGCTGGGGGGAGGTGGTGACCCTCCAATGTCACGGGGTGAAAAGAGGGCTGTGTGCTCCACGTGAAACACTTTAGGAGGAAGGAGGGCAGAGTAGACAAGAGCCCGTCTGGCCCAGCACCTGGGGAAAGCATGAGAGGCCTCCTGCCTGTCACCCCCCCCCATCCCCCATTCCCTGAGGAATGAAGCTCTGTAAACCAGGGGCAGCAGGACCTAAGGGGCTTCTTCCCGCCACAGCCAGGCCAGGCTCAGCCAGAGGCCAGGGGTGACAGAGAAGCCTGGATAAGACACAAAGCTAGCCCAGGTGGTGGCTGCGGCTTTCTCCCACAGCCAGGGTCTCCCGTGGGTCCTGGCAGGTGACCTGGCACTCTAGTCCAGGGGAGAAAGGCAATGGAAGGTAATGCTGGTGTCCTCCAGATGGTGGCCAGGAGGGCGGTAGGCTCCTGAGGTGGGACCAGCCCTCACCTGGAGCTGGGTCCCACAGAGCAGGAGGACCGTGTGGATGGACTAATGCTTCAGGATGCTCTGGGTGCCTCAGAGCTCAGGCGTCAGGTGCCGGGGGCACCCTAGCTAACCTACAAGGAGAAATACAGGTTAGAGATGCAGGTTAGAGCTCCTTCCTGTGGCCAGGGCAGAGAAGCCCACAGACCACACCCCAGGGACCAGAACTCTTACTTTCTGGGCCATTAGATCACTCAAAATCTCAGCTCTCTGCTTGTGACTTCTTTACGTCCAGGCAGACACCCACTGGGTGTCAACCTGGACAGCACAGTCAAAAGCTTCTGAAGGACTCCAAATGTGGGCTACACCCCAAGCTTTGAAAGACCCAGGTATTTTGAGTACATTCCCTGGTGACTTCAGTGGGCAGCTGAGGTTTAAAAGGGGGTCAGGGGAGAGGAATTGCAACCCATTCATTCGGTTCTTTGGCTAAAGCTCTGGTTAAGGAAGTGAGAATTTACTAAAATAAAATGTTGCATTATCTGTAGATTAAATATCACAGCAAGAAAGTTTTATGTCAGCACTAAAATTAGGACTTCCTGTCCAGGAGGACCATTTTTAGAAAGTCTTCACACAGAGCTGCTGATTTTCCTCCTGGGGGCAGGGTAGTGGGTTTAAGAGAGTGGATTCTTATTTTGCTGGAATGGGATTGGGAGGAGATGCCTTTGTCCACTCCAGGACCCCCTGAAATGCTGAGGTTAATCACAAGCTCTCCTCCTGGGTCCAACGCTAGTGTCCCAGACAGGCGTGACTTCAGAGGAACCACTTACATCCATCCTCCTATTTCTTCCTCTCAACTCCAGGCACCTTATATGTCGCCTCATTTAACCTCTGCTCACACAAGGAAGCACTGCCACTCCTGCCCAAGGGGGAGGGAATGAAGCCTGAAAGGAACTGATCTCCCTGAGCCATGGGTTGATTAGGTGCAAAGTCAGAGGCCCATACAGGTGAAATGACAGGAAGGATGTGAGAATAGTGGGTGTATGTGAGTGTGAGAGAGAGAGTGTGTGTGTGTGTGTGTGCGCACACACACATATGCAAGCAAATGTGTTATGCTCCTGGGGTGTTAGCCTAAAAGTTAGCATTTTTTAGCTATTAGTTAGCCCCCTCTGGTCCCCAGCTACCTTAACTGCAGACACATAATCTTGCAAATCAGCATCAGTTGTAGGACTAGGACAAGAGAAAGAGTGCTTTCCACACTAGGGAGCAACATGTGAGGTGAGCAAGACTTGTGGTGCCAAGATCCTGGTGACAGTGAGGTCCTGGTGGTGGAGAGACTGTGACATTACTGTGGGCAAACAGTGGCAAGGTGTGACTTGAGGCTTCTTGCATTTGTGGTCGATTGGCTGCTCTTGCAGGATGTTTGAAGAAGGTGACTATAGCTGTTCTGAGGCAAATCTTTATGGATGATTTGGATTTGACTGCTGAACTGAAACTAGAGCCTGGACTTATTGAGGAATTGTGCCTTGAAACTGTTGGGCTAAAAGCCCGGACTTGTATTGTGAGATATTCTCTGCCTCTCCCACTTACTTCCCTAATAAACCCCATTCTCAGCACCACAACTCTGTGAGTCAGCCGTGAATAACCGATGCTCTTGCTGTTGGTATGGGTCTAGAGGCAACATAGGCTGGACTATGGGCTCTTCATCTGCTTTCTACTCTGGGGCAGTGAGGAGCTATGCTGTTCTTACTCCCTCTGGCCCTTGCCAAGGGATGTTCATGGCCTTGTGTCTCTCTGTGTACCAGTTTTCCCTCTTTTGATAGCTCTTTTGAAAAAACAAACTGACCTTGTTGCCATGGAGTTGATTTTGAATCATGGTGGTCCTATGAGAATATGACTGTGATTCATAGGGTTTTCAAGGGCTGGTTTTGAGGAGGGGGAAGTGCTTCTGGGTAGACTAGAACATCCAACCTCTATGTCAGTAGCCCAGTGCTTAAGCATTTGTATCACCCAGGGAGACTACACATGCTTGTGTGCGTTAGTGTAAACTGAGCCTCATGCAAGGTCGTCCTTTAGTCTGTGACGATGATCTCCCTACTCTGGTGTTCCAATCCTGGAGTTCCAGTGGCTTTATGAAATGGGACTAAATGCTCACATGGAGTTTCCCTTTTAAATACACTGGCTTAGTAATATCAGAAGTTGAAAACTCTATAGCTCTGCAATTTGCTTTTCTGAGTCTTACTGACACAGAAAACCTGCACATCTGAGTCTCATTGCATCCTACACATTACCCAAGACCCTTCCCCTGAGGAGGGCATCAAGTCTGGTGGTGACCCCAGGAGGTCCCGGAACTGACGGGTGCAAAGAAGCCCAGCCTTGAGCAATCAACACATCCTGTCTGGCTGCCATTACCCAGTGTATGAAATGATACCCACTCCAAAGATAAATAGCAGGCTTGAGGAGATGGCCTGACGAAAGGTTTTGCATCAGACATGGAGGAATATGCTCTATAGGGCCCTAGATGCAGGCACAAATTCACATGCCTCCCCACCGCCCATCTCTGACTGCACCGAGGCGACATCCTAGGCTACACATGATAGCCCACATGATGAGGAGTGACAGCTCGCCGTGGACAAGGCCTAAGCGTGTCCGACATGACATGGAAAACAGACACATTGATTCAGTGACTGGAGAAATGAGATCAGGTCTGTCGGAGACGAAGAGATTGGCTCAGGATAGGGCAGGATTCAGAGCTATTGTACACAGGGTCGCTATGAGTCGCAGGTGACTTGATGGCACATAACAACAAGAACCATCAAATGTGCTTGGAAGGCTCAGGGGCTCTGCGCTCCAAGGCCAAGGGCAGCAGGATGACCCAGCCCTCCCCGGAGAGACAGGCGGGAGCTCCTTACCGTTGGATGATGCGGTTGTTGTCCTGGAGGTCAAAGGCCAGCAGCTTCATCTCCTTGTGAAGCTCCTGCATGCTGGTCAGGGCACAGGCAGGAGAGCCAGCTGAGCCAGGGCCATGCTGCCCAGCCCCTTCCTGCGCCCTACAAGGACCGCCCACCCTCCTCTCCACCCCCACCCCCTGCAGGCTCTGAGCCGCTAAGGCCCAGGCTGGCAGTAGGTCAGTCCCCTCTGGCTCTGACTCCACATTCTACTCCCACTCAACACCCCCTCACACCCACACTTACATACACTCTTGTGCACTTACTGGAGAATCAAGTCATTTTGGCTGGAATGAGGGCCTGTGGGGGGCAGGGAGGCCTGAGCCTCTGCCTCTGGATCCTGAGGTAGCTGCTGAGACAGCCGGTCAAGGATCTGAGGAAAGTCACATTTCAATCAGAAGGAAGAGAATTTATGTACTTATAACTTGTTAGTCAAATTTGTGTCTTCTAGGTTGCAACACCCCCATGATACATCTTCAAGGATATGAACATGTACGGCCAAGCACAATCAATAAGAGTGCATCTAAATTCCAAAATCAATCTCCATAATAGTCTATGTGTTTCCTACTGCCAAAGGGGCCCTTTAGAGTAGTGAGAGAAGATCTTCACCCTGAAACCCCCAGCATCCCTTTTCAGCAGGAAGTAGCTAAGAGAATACGCCATCCCCTTTTCCTTATGAATCAGGGTGAAGTCTCTCTCAGGGAGGAGTGATAGGGAATGGCAAAGGACACACTGACAAAGAAGATTAATCAGAACTGACTTTGACAAGCACTGTGGCATTTGGACAAGAACAAACTGGGAGGACGGTAGAGAGAATAGTGCAACAATGAATGAATGGAAACCCAAAATCTCTGTAAATGTTTATGAAAATTAATAAAATATAATTATAGAAAAAAAAAGAAGGAAGAGAATTTATGGGTGAGGGGGGCAAGAAAAAGGTAACACATCAGAAAAGGTACCCCAACCTGCATCTACCAATTCTGGATCTACCTGCATTTTCCCAGCTCCCCACCACCTCATCCTTCCCACTCAGGAATGTAGCCAACCTAACTACCTTCATTTATCTTTTCTTGAATGTAAGGATCCAGAGAGTTCCTTTACATCTGACCTAACTCATGCACCGCAGGGAAGGAGTGAGGGGCCCTGCCTTTTCTTTGCCACTGGTATGTTTGTCTCCTCAAAGCAATTCTGTTCGTTGCTTCAGAGTCAATTTTAGCCCATGGTGACCCCATGTGCTCAGAGCGGAACCGTGCCCACCAGGTCCTCCAGCAGGTGATGCTGCTTCTGAGGCTCCCACTTCTCTGGTTAGTAGGCAAGCGTGGAACCTTTTGTGGCATGAACGGACTTCACGGTGTCGTTCCACACAGAGCGCAGGCAGCACCAGTTATACTAAAAACAGCAGCCCTTTGCTGCTCCCGGTGGCAAAGCCGGTAGCTTCCCTGAGCTGTCAGGTTCTGGTCTCCTCCCAGAGAACAGGGCAGAAGAGAGGAGAGCGGGAGCTTCCACACTGGTGTCTCCCTCCCAGTCTGCACAGTAGCGCTCCCAAGTCCAGCATTCCAGGGTCTCTGCCCTCGTAGTGACCTGAGCATTCAGCGTAAAGTCCTCAAGCTTCAGCCACATTGACATGGATCAGCGAGCCATTTTTCTGTGTAGCTGAGTTGTTGTTGTTGTGTACCATGGAGTCAGATCTGACCCGCAGCTGACCATCCAGAGAGTTTTTAGAGGCAATAAATCACACAGGAGAAGACTGTCCATCCTTCTCCCACGGAGCAGCTGGTGGACTCAAACTGTGTACCTTTGAGATGGCAGCACAGCTTGTTACCGCTAGGCCAGCAGAGCTCCCGTGTGGCTGAGTGCTGTTCCATATAAGCATATACCACTTTTTTGTTTTCCACTCTTCCACCTAGCACCTTCCTTTCAGTCTCCCTCCCCACCTCAGGGCACAGGTGAGCTCAGAGACCTCCCAACCCACAGGCTGAATTGGTCCAAGGTTGCTGTTTCCTCTACAAAAGCAAAGAGTTGGAAACAACTCAAGTGTCCATTAGTGGACCAATGATCGATACAACTGTGGTACATTTACCCAATGGAGTAAGATGCATCAGCGGAAAATGATCAGGAATTTGTGAAATAATGCACAACATGGACGAAATAAGGAAAGATTATTCTGAGTGTCATAAGTCACTTAGGACAGTACAATTATCAGACCACTAATCTGAAAAGCTAAGAAATCATTTACGCACAGATAGAACCAATTGTGGAGAGAAGACAGAGATGAGAAGCAAGCGAGGGGGGAGAAAGGTAGAAAGAAAAATTTGGCACGCAAAAAAGACAGATGATAGGTAGGGTATCTGTTCCCAGGGGCAGGGAACAACCGAATGTCACAGCGCCTGACTGCCCACCTGGCTCTCACGTCACTGGCCACGCACCTTGCTGAGGTTCTCCTGCGCCCCCTGGGCTTCCGTGTTGCAGGCAGCCACGGAGCAGCCGACAAGGCGCAAGTGGTTCCTGGTCTCATGCACCATCCTTCAGAGAGCAGACAGACAGAGTCAGAGGGGGACTTGGTTCTCTGTCTCTCATCACCCCAGCCGTCCCCTGGGCGGGTCCCAGCCCTTTCCCTTCCTCACTTTGTCAGCCCTTCTGGAAACCCTCAGCACCCAGCGTCTCTATTGTAATAATTTCTTTGCACCAATGAGCCGTTCTGGTTAAGGCTGATGGGGAAGGGTCCCATTAGAATCACAGTGGGGACAACACATTGCAAAGATGCAGTGCCCAGGGGCCAGGTAACACACACTGGCAGCTACGAGCCAGGTGCCAGGTAAGGCTCCTGAGAGCCGGAGGAGCCACCCACACAAGCTGAGTCACCACCCACACCAGACTCAGCCATGGTTTTGGGTTTTCCCTCTAAGTGACAGGAATGCACAAGAATATTCTCCCTATCGCATAGAGAAAGCCAGGGTCCAAGAGATGCAACCAGGATTCTCAGTCTTCCTCAGGAGGACTTCCAGGGGAGCTTTATAAAATGCTGATGGCCCAGCCCTGCTCCAGACCTAGACAGTGAGGACTGAGGCTGGGCTGGGCAGGGAGCTGGGGGTGTCAGGCACTGAGATTCTGATGTGAGGGTAGGTCCCAGCTGCATTCAACCCAACACAGGCCAGGCTGCAGGAGCCCTTACTCTTCTGGGGCTAATGTTAATGCAGGCAGGGGAAGGGGGTAAGAAACTGTCTGTGAGGGGAGAATCTGAAACTCCTAAACGGGACCATGTGAGAGGAGTGGTATGAGAGGGGTCACTGTGAGAGAGGGTTCTGTTTAAAGGCTACTGATCATCCCTGCTCCCTTCCTTAAGACTCAAAAAATCCGACTGCCATCCTTGCAACCGTGTAGGAAAAAGTAGAGCAGCCCCACAAGGTCCCCAAGGCTGTAAATCTATATGGAACCAAACTGCTTATCCTTCCATAGAGCAGCTGGTGAGTTTGAACCGTCAACCTTTTAGTCAGTAGTCATGTTTTAACCACTAGGGCTGCATCTCTGTCTTCTTCAACTGAACTCAAACGCCCTGCCATCAAGTTGGTTCTTACTCAGAAACCCTCCATCTGGTTTCCAGGGCTGTAAATCCTAACAGGAGGGGACCACCCATCACGCCAGGTGGATTTGAACTAGCGACATGACCTCTTGGGCTTAACACCGTAACTCCCTGAAGACTATGCCCCAGAGGTCAGAGGTCCTTGCCTGCTTCGAAGCCCATAATCCTTCCCTAGAGAGGGAGTTTCCAGTACAACCAGCTGGGATGGTGGAAAGAACCCAGATTGCAGAAGGATGTATCACATGTGTTAGTCCTGGGTCTGCTGTTTCCCAGCTGTGCAATGTGAAGGCTCAGATCTATTTTCCAAGCCTCACTTTCTTCATCAGTGAAATGGAGTGATAAGAGCCACTCCATAGATTAGCTATTGTAGGGGTCTAAAGGAGCTAATTTTGAGAAACTGCCCAGCAGGCCTCTTGATTCCCCAGATGGCCATTTCCCAGTCTTCCTTTGTGACCCCTCTCCATCAGGGCTCTGCAAAGCCCAGTGCCACCATCCCAGAGGGCTCATCCCCTGAAGCTCTGCAGAGTGGCTGGCCTGTTACCTCATGCGCTTGCCGTGTGTGACCAGGGCCGCCTGATACTTCTGCACACGCTCCTCCTGGAACACCTGCAGCAGCCTCTTGGCTAAATGGCTGAAATTCACTCTGCAAAGACAGAGAAACTGAGACACAGAGGCGAGCATCCAGAGACACCTCTGAGTACAGGCCCAGCATCTCTAGGTTTCCACCACTGAGAGGCCCAGTGCCCAGCCCTGGGGCTGCAGTGGGGACGCTGTCACTGGGATTGGTCACTGGTACTCTGTCTTGGGGAAGGAAGAGAGGATGATCATACATGTGGGTCCCATACGCCAGACAAGTGGGCAAAACACATGTGTTAACAGAGATGGGAAGGAGGTCTAGGGCTCCGGGGAACTGGAGTGCACTTTCAAGCTTAATCCCTGAAGGGAAAGGGTTGGGGCATGGGGCAGGGGGCGGGGGAGAGAGAATGAATGAGTGTCTGTGTGTGTGTGTGTGTGTGTGTGTGTGTGTGTGTGTGTGGTGTAGGGGGCTGGTGGGGAGCCTTAACTACTTCCCTCCGTTGGGAGACCTCTAGCAGGTGGGTGTCTAGGACAGAGCAGTGCAGGAAGCACAAGGGAAGGGCCTGGCAGAGGGCAGGGACAGGAAGGGATGGGTGGTGAATTGGAGAGGTCAATTAAGGAAACTCGTCCTATAAACAAACCATCTTGCTTCTGATCAGAAGCAAATACAGTCATATTAGAATGACCTCCCAGGGGCCTCCCTTCAACTCAGCCGCACAATCTCTCCCCGCCCCAGTCAACCTGCCTGACTAGCCCAGGCACCAAGTGGCCCCTTCACCTCCTCACGCAGCCTAAGTCAGGCCCTCCACAGCCTCATGTGCGACTGGAAGGACACTCTGGTGCCACCACCCTGTTGCCCACCCATCAACCCAGGCCACTCACTTATCCAGCTTGTGGATCTGCTCCTCGTTGTAGCCAAGCCCTGGAGGACATAGGAATGGAACCTCTTAATCAAATGAAATGGGTGGGGCCTGGGCTGAGGACTTTGGGATGCGGCACGGGGACACAGATGAAGACAGCTTCCCAGCTCCAGGAGAACCATTGCCAAGTAGGGCCAGGAAGGGCTGAGGGATTTCACTGAGCTGGTTCTGAGCCGTCGTGGAGTCCTGCATGCCAGAGTAGAACTGTACTTCACAGGGTTTTCAACAGCCCGGTCCTTGAAGTAGATTGCCAGGCCTTTCTTCCAAGACACTTCTGGGAAGACTCCAACACTGAACACTTTAACTATTGTTTTAATGTCAACCCAACTCATAGGCCAAAGAAGTGAAATTATTATTTACAGAATTGCATACTATTAATAACAGGGACCTCTGATGGCCTAGTGGTAAGAACTTGTGCTGCAATCCTGAAGGCACATGGTTCAAATACGCCAGCTGCTCCACAAGAGGGTGGGCAATCTCTTCCCATGCAATTAACTGCCTCTGAAAACCCACTGGAGGGTCAGCTGTGGGTGGGTTCCAACTCGATGGTACACAACAACAACATTAGCCGAGACGTAAAGAAGCTGCAGAGAAATGATTTTGGGGTTCGGAAGACAGCAACCCATAGTGCACGGGGTGGGATGGGGTGACAGTCAGGCTCCAGGTGGATCCCAGGCTGCCCTTGAAATGCTTGGTTAACTGCTGCCCCTCACCCAGCACACCCTCCCAGGAGGACGGGCATCTGTGGCAGGTCCCGTCCAGCCTCCTTCGCCTGCAGGCACAGCCAGGTCACCCACCTTTACCCTTTTATTCTCAGTTTAGCCATTTTTGCCAGAAGGCTCAGGGAGATTGCTGATCCTGCCTTGAATGAGAGGCTTTACTGTCTAAAGAAGCCTTAGGCTCACTGCTTTAGGAAAATGCTGCCCCCTCCTGGGCCTTGAGGGAATGGTCTCCCTGTTGGAGGCAGTACCAACATGCAAGCATGTGAGAAGTTTGCCTCCACCTCCACTCCAGCACCTTCCAGGACTCTCTTCTTCCAGGGCTTGCCAGCCAGCTGAGAACACTTGTGAAGTCCCTGAGCTGTGAGACAGAGCTCAGCCCTGCCTCATCTTAGCAGGCGGCCAGTCCTTGGGTATTGTAAACCAGCCATTGTCATGCACTCTACAACTCACTGAAATGCTGGAAGTTCAAGTACTCCCAGAAGCACCTTGGAAGAAAGGTCTGGCAATCCTCTTCTGAGAAACCAACCACTGAAAACCACAGTTCTGCTCTGACACTCACGGGGCCTCCATAAGTCAGAGGAGACTTGAAGGCAACTAGGTTTTCTAACTGCAAGGCAGTGATTTCACTTCACTGAGCCTGGTGTCTTATCCTTATTATGAACCACACAGGCATTGTGCGCACGCGTGCGTAAGTGCGTGTGTGTACACAAAAGCAAGAGAATGTCATGAAAATAGTTTTTTTCAGAACAGGATCTTTTAGCACCCTGGGTGTTAATTCTCATCCATTGCTGTACAGTCAGAATTGACTCCTAGCTGACCTTCCAGCTGGTTTCAGAGGCTATAAATCACATGAGAGGGGACTGTCCATTGTTCTCCAAAGGTGCAACTTCTTCTTGTTGATGTTGTTCTGTACATGGAGTCGATCATGATTCATAGCGACCCTATGAACAATAGCTCTGATTCTTGCCCTGTCTTGAGCCAATCTCACTCTCCCTGACACACCTGGCCCCACTACCACAATCAATCAATCTATCTCATCCAGGGTCTTCATCTCTTACACTGACCTTCCACCCTTTCAAGCATGATGTCCTTCTCCAAGGACTGGTCCCTCCTCTGGTAACATGCCCTAAATATGTGAGACAGAGCTTCACAGTCCTTGACTCCAAGGAGCAGCCTGCTTTCACCCTCTCCAGGACTGATCTGCTTGTCCATGGTATGTTCAGTACTATTCTCCAGTAACACAACTCAAAGGCATCAATTCTTCTTCTGTCATCCTTAGTCATTGTCCAGCTCTCTGATGCATAGCAAGTAATTTCAAAGAATATAGCCTGGATCAAGCACACCTTAGACTCTAGACTGACATTGTTGCTCCTTAGCACTCTGGAGAGGTCCCTGATGGCAGACTTTCTCAAAGCAACTCATCTTTTTATTTCTTGATTGCTGGTGCCAAGAGGGTTGATTGTAGACCCAAGTAAGATGAAATTGTTAACAATCTCAATCTCTTCTCCACCTATCATGATGCTGACAATTGATCCAGTGGAGAAAATCTTTGTTTCCTGGATATGGAAATGCAATCCATATTGAAGACTGCAGTCCTTGACCTTCTGCAGCAAATGCTTCAGATCCTCCTCAGTTTCAGCAAGCAAGGCTGTGTCATCTGCATAATGCAGGATGTTGATGAGTCTTCCTCCAATCCTGATGCCACATTCTTCTTCATAGAGTCCAGCCTCCTGAATATAAATTGAGAAGGTATGGAGAAAGGACACATCCTGACAAAATCTTTTCTTGATTTTGAACCATGCAGTGTTCAGACAACTCCTTCCTGACCTAAGTATAAGATTTACATGGGCACGATCAGGTGTTCTGAGATTCCCATTCTTCTCAAGGTTAGTCACAATTTGCTGTGATTCACACAAATACTTTTGCATTGTCAATTAAACACAGATAGACATTCTTCTGGTACTTTCTGCTTTCAACCAAAATCTGTCTGACAATGGCAATGATATCCCAATTGCCACAGCCTCTTCTAAAACCAGCTTGTTTTTATGACAACCATATAGACATTATTCTCCCTGGTTCCTGTTAAAACTTATGCCATTAAAGCTACTGAAATGAAAACCCAACCTTGTATAAACTTTCTTTAAAATCACAATAAAATAAAGGGAGCTTTAGTGGCTTAGTGGCAAGAAGCTGCACTGCAATCCCAGAGGTATGCAGTTCAAATCCACCAGATGCTCTGCTGGAGAAGGGGGGAAATCTCCTGTACCAGTCAGATCTGATTTGATGGTACACACAAAATATAAAATAATGATAAATTTTAAAAAAAAAATCATAATAAAATTTAAAAAGGGACTCTCCAGGATCAAATAAATGAAACTCTCTTGAGGGTGTATAATGTGGTAGTTAGAAACAGTTGGACTGGTTACCTGGATTTGAATCCCAGCTTCGCACTTATGTGTGGTCTTGGACAAGGTACCTACCCTAAGTTATCTGCCCTTTCTTAGTTTCCTCATCTATAGAATGGAGAGAATAACAGTGCTCAGGTAGTGTGAATGGTTAATACACTTGGCTACTAATTGAAAAGTCATTGATTCAAGTCCATTAAGAGGTGCACAGAGCACTATTTATGCATAGACCCCTAAAAATATCAGATCAAGTATGACGGAGTGACCCAGAGGGAAGGAAACTGCTTATAAAGTATGTGCTCTCTCCAGACTCACCTGGTCTCATTCTGGATTTCTTGAACTGTGTGTAGATGAAGTACATCTTGTCTAAACAACACTGAATCTGCTGGATGCTGTGGGCAGAAGACAAAAGGCTAGTCGATGGGAGAACCTCTGGGCAGGAAGAAAAGGATGGGGGAGAAGGTGGGACTGCAGTAGGAGAGGGTGAGACTGAGGTGTGGGGTGTGACTGAGGTGGGAGAGGGTGAGACTGAGGAGGGGGTGAGACTGAAGTGTGTGATGTGACTGAGGTGGGAGAGGGTGAGACTGAGGAGGGGGTGAGACTGAGGTGTGTGATGTGACTGAGGTGGGAGAGGGTGAGACAGAGGAGGGGTTGAGACTGAGGTGTGGGGTGTGACTGCAGTGGGAGAGGGTGAGCCTGAGGTGGGAGAGAGTGATACTGAGGTGGGAGATAGGACTGAGGTGGGAGAGGCTGAGACTGAGGTGGGAGAGCATGATACTGAGGTGGGAGAGCATGATACTGAGGTGGGGGTGGGATTGAGGTGGGAATAAGGGGAGGAGCCTCATGACTGTGACTTCAGGGGCCAGTCTGGGAACAGCAGCTGTCCTTTGGCTAAGCTTATTTGAGGTACCTTGGAGCCAGTCAATACCTATTAAATATCTACATCTGCCTGTCTCTCTGTCTGGTGGGTTCTCTCTCACACTCTTCCATGTATTTTTGTTGTTGTTCTGCAGTCCTGCCCACAGTGGGCCTGGCATGCTGAACCCCTCCAGGGGCCTATGGGCCCTTGGGCATAGTGGCCCTCGGGCCTATGCTGAGAACCATTACCTAAGATTTAGCACTGCCACTGTCTGTGCCAATATCCTTACCCAGGAACCTAACCTGATGAGCCACCAGGGGCCTCAGCTGTGATCTGAAAAGAGTGTCCTGTGTTATGATATTTGTATGCTTGGTTGTCTTTACAGTTTACTTTTGGGGTGTAATATCTATCTATCAGTTCAGTTATTGGGGAATAGTTTGCATGTTGCCAATTATTTTTAACCTAGATGTATCTCTAGGCTTGGATATTATCATTTGCTCCTATTACTACAGCACTTGTATGTCAGTCTGCTGTACTAGTGTAGCTTGTGGGGTGCTCTGACGCTGGAATGTGTGCCATCAGTGTCTCAGACACCAGAAGGTCATCCATGGTGAAGAGATTGCAACAACATCGTGTAATTAGAAACTATTAAATAAACAGATAAGAAGCCAAGCAGGAGAGGTGTCAGGACACTGGTCTTTAACACGGCCACTAAGTTGAGGAGAGAGCCTACAATAAGTTCTGGTCCAGCAGCAGAGAAGACACGAGTGGATCACAAGAGTAAAAGACAACAAAGACAAACACTATTATGTACACAATCCTGCAATAATAGTAATAGCAAACAAGAAGATACAGATGTAGACAGGAAAGCTAAACAAACAGATGTGAAAATGTGGAGGGAAGTAACAACTGAACTTAACCCAATGTACTGCCATTGAGTCAGAACCAACTCACAGCTGACCCTCCCATGAGTTTTCAGAGGCTGTAGATCACACAGAAGGAGACTTTCTCCAGTGGGGTCACTGGTGGATTCAAACTGCCAGAGAAGGGCTGCCTTTGGGTTAGAAGCACAACTCACTATGGTATAGGCCAGAGGCATACAAGTGATTAGATAGAATTTGGCAGAGGGTATTTCCACATATGTGGAATACATCTGAATACATCCAAAGCTAAGGGGTAAAGTCTGGAACATTTCTGATTCTGAGCCATAGTCAAATATCTTGAGGGAATGAGTCAATGAGGGATTGGGGTCTTGGAACTACAGTCTTGGGGGACATTGAGGTCAACTGGCATAACAGAGTCCACTAAGACAATGTGCTACATCTGACTTTGATGAGTAGTGTGGTCTTAAAAGCTTGTGAGACGATCTGTACACCAATTTCATCCCTGTGTTATTTATAAGAACATGGAAATAGCCCACATGTTCAGCCACAAACAAATGGATTTAGAAATTATGGTACAGTCACACAATGGAATACTATGCAGCATGCAAGAGCAAAGATTTCATAAGTTATTGCCTAACTTGGAAGGGACTGGAGAGCATTATGCTGAGTGAATGAACTCAGTCCCACAAGGATAAATATTGGATAAAACCATTATTGTAGAATGGGTATAAGGCTTAGGGGGGAGGAAAGGGTGGGAAGTAGAGGGCTGAGGATGTGCAGGCAGAGGGGGGGATTAATCATGGGGTTGTACAATTTTATGGGTTGGGGTGAGGGAAATGGAAAGAATCTGTTCTCAAAAACAATAAATGTATTTGAATTATGTAAATAAATTAGTATAGAATTTTAAAAAAAGGAAAGAAAATCCTGGCCAGGGGGAAGAAAAAAAAAGTAGAAAAATGTCAAAATCATGAAAAGATAGAACTTATAGATCTGATGGAGACTGGTGGGACCTCAGATGGTGGCTTGGAATTAAATCTGCCCCCGAGGCTCACCTTTCCACCAACAGACAGAACTATCTAGTGGATGGGGGCTGGTAGTGTAGCCAACTCACGGGATGCTGAGCTGCTCAACTCACAGGCAGGGTCTCTCTGTTGGTTCAAATACACCAGTTGCTCAGAGGGAGAAAGATGGACATGCGATACATAAATCTCCTCCCATGCAACTTACAGCCTCAGAAACCCACTGAAGCGTCATCAGAGCTGGTTCTGACTGGATGGCAATGAGGGGGGTGGTTCTGGTGAGAAAATCTTTTATTTATTTAGAATTTGTATTTAGAATTAGCCCCCTGGACTCAGTTTAGATGATCCCAATTTTGTTGGCAACATCCAAAGCATCATAATCAGGAGCAAGTCGAACATAGGCCTTTCCATCAGGCCTCATCAAAGTGTTGACCTTGGCCACATCAGTGTCAGAGCTTCTTTACAGCTTGTTTGATTTGGTGCTTGTTGGCCTTGACATCCACAATGAACACAAGTGTGTTGTTATCTTCTGTCTTCTTCATGGCTGACTCAGTGGCCAGTGGAAATTTGATGATGGCGTAGTGGTCAAGCTTGTTTCTCCTGGGGATGTTCTTCCGGGGGTATTTGGGCTGCCTTCAGAGTCTCAGCATCTTAGGCCGCCAGAACGTGGGTGACGTGCGGATCTTCTTTTTTTTTTTGGCTGTGGATGCCCGTCAGGACTGCCTTCTTGGCCTTTAATGCCTATGCGTTGGCTTCAGTTTTGGGAGGGGCAGGGGCTTCCTTCTTCGCTTTCAGCGTCGATCTTTGTAGAAAGGGACAATAAATTTTTTGAGATATGGTGAATAACAAATGTATTCCTCAGTATAACCAGCCACATGAGGACAAAAAGGCAGAGTTTGCCTAAAAATAAAGCTCACATGGCAGGAAGGGATGAGGCAAAAGGATAAATGGAAATAAGGCACCCAAGAAGGAAGTGGGGAGAGTGCTGTTACTTAAAAGGAATTGCAATCAATGGGGGGCGGGGGGGGATGTGCATGAACCGTTGAGTGGAAAACTATTCTGTAGATATTACCTAAACTATGATAATTTTTTAAAAATTACATTTTTAAAAGAAAAAGCAGCAGGAGGAGCAGCTCTGGGCCAAGTGTAAAGAGGGCCTAGGGCCCAGGTGAGAAGAGGTTCCTCTTCTGGTCACCAGCAGAGGGCAGAAGTGTCTTGTTGGCATGCCCAGTGCCTGACACAGAGAGGAATTTAAAGAACGGTTTGAAAATGATTTAGCACAAGATTGAATCAATGATGTCTGTTTAAAACAAGAGGAGGGTCCTTCCTGAGGGCAGGGAAGTGACTCTGGGAGAACCTTTCAGCCTGTGCTTGAAGATCTGGATTGTTCCAACTGGACACATGCTTTTGTTTGCTGTGCTGGGTGTGTGGGTGTGAGTTCTTCCCCACCCTCGGGCAACCCAGCACCACCTGCTCTTAGGACCCCACCTCAGCTCTCTGCAGTGGGCTGGGAGCTTGTTCTTACGGCTTTGCTGGGCCCCCCAAAAGCTTTCCCTCCCAAGGACACGAGTGTTAGAGGAGGCTTGGCTCACACACGCAGTCTTTATCCAAAATGCTCAATATTTCAGATTTTGATTTGCTTGTTATGTTTTGTTAGATGGGTTGTTGAGGTGGTGGGTTTTTTTCAGTATTTAAAAGGTAATTTGGTGTACACATGGTACACTGTGGAACACCTCAGCAGGGTCTGAAGGGGGACTTTAGAGTCCAATACAGGTATGTTTTGTTTTTAGAGAACTGTGAAAATACTCATGGTAGCAATAGTAGTTATTTCTGGTGCCATCGAGTCAGAATCGACCCACAGCTGACCCTCCAATGGGTTTTCAGAGGCAGTTAATCACCTGGGTAGAGACTGCTCATCCTTCACCCCGCAGAGGAGCTGGTGAATTTGAACTGTGTACCTTTAGAATTGTATTGACATTTCTTGCCACTAGGCCACTGGAGCTCCCTAGCAATAGTAGTTGCTACTGTTGTGTGCTGTGAGGTGAGAAGCGACTCATAGCTGACCCTCTAGTGGGTTTTCAGATGCAATTAATCCCATGGGAGGAGATTGTCCATCCTTCTCCTGTGGAGAAGCTGGTGGATTTGAACTGCATGCCTTTGGGATTGCAGTGCAGCTTCTTACCACTCACTAGGCCATCAGCGCTCCTTGCAATAAGAGTAGGAAGTGGAATAAATACAAATAAAAGAACCTCCCAACACACATCTGTCAGTTTGCCACACGGTGGTGGCCTGTGTGACACTGGAAGTTATGCTGCTGCTATTTCAAATGCCAACACATGACCCATAGTGGTCAGATTTCACTGTCCATACTCAGAAAGACTAGGAAGAAAGGACTGGCAATCTACGTCTCAAAGTGAGCCAATGGACTTCTTAGGGATCACAACGGGATATGGATCTGACTTGTTTATTTCACACATATCACATAGGATCAATCACTAGAGAGGACCCCACAACAACAGAGATGGATTAGCACATTAGCTGCAAGGATGGCCGTGGACACACAGTGACCACACAGATGATGTGGGATGGGGTCAGAGTTTACTAAGATCAACTTGGATCAGAGGGAGATAACTTGATGACAGCAATCTATAGAACAGAATAGTGAAATCTATGGTTTTCAAATTTTCATATTTTAAATTGAGAATATAGGATTATAGATCTGTGTAGGGGCTGAAGGGGATCTGGTGGTGTGTTCCCAGAGGGCACTGCCTTGTCTGTGTCTTGGGCTGAGCGAGGCTGGGGGCTCTGTTCTGTGTAGGTCAAAGGGGAGGGGTACACATCAAGCTCAGGGTAGAAGGCTATTCTCATATTTCTTAAAATGTGAGAAGAGCAAAGGAGACAGGAGGGGAGGGGAGGGGAGGGGAGAGGAGAGGAGAGGAGAGGCTTTTCACCCTTAATTTATTTTTCATTTTTACTATATTTAAGCACTCAAGTCTGTTTCATTCATTACATTCACAGTGTTATATTGTGTAGCTATCACTAATATTTACAGAGTGTTCACCATCCAAAACAGAAACCCATTCAAACATCAGCTCCTCTCCCCACCTCTCTCTGCCTCTGATCGCCTCAAATCCCCTTTTCATCTTTATAACTTTGCCTTGGGAAGGGTACTTACAGCTATTACAACCTTGGTGTAGGCCAGGAGCTTGGGTTTTAGACATGGACAAGCACGGCCTGTTTACTGCTGTCCTCGTCACTGCTGTCCTCGTCACTGACCGGCTGCTGTTATTGTTAGGGGCTGTCGAGTCAGCTCAGGTCCACAGTGACCCCCACAGTAGGACAGACTGAGACTCCGCCCGTCCTGCCCTGCCTCTCAGTCATTCCAGACTGAAGCCACCCCTGCAGCCTCTGTGACAAGCCATCCCGCTGAGGGTCTTCCTCTCCTTCGCTGACACTAATTAACCATGCATGGTGTCCCTCCGGACAGCGTGCCCAAGACATGTGGGATGACGTCCTGCCTCATAAGGAGTCTCAGGCTCCGTTCTCCAGGACAGGTCACTGGCTGTGACTCAGCGTTAACGATCCCCTTAGTGACCTTCTTCCCATGCAAAATACACTATAGGAACGCTGTCACTGTGTTGTGAACTGAAGGATATGTGAGGACTTCTCCAAGGGCCTGATGCAGAACCCCAGGCTCAGAAGAGAACTAGGGAAGCAGTCTGTCCTTACTCAGAACTATTATCCCTGCTCTGAGGCCTAACTCACCCTACACTCCCAGGGAGATAAGGCCCTCCAGTCCGTTTCTCCCTGTGGCCCAGCGTTGGGGAGGGTCTTGTCCATTCCTAAGGACCCCCAGCACCCTTGACTCCAAACAGGAGAGAGCAGGTCGGGCCCTGAAAAGGCCGCTGGGGCTTTAGTTTGGTGCACTGCACTGCTCCCACCCCCTCCCCCAAAAGAAGGAAGTCCCACAGACCTTCTGTCCTCATGTACCTGATCCCGGTTCTTCGCCAGCTCCAAGCTCAGGCTTCTCAGGCTTGTTTGGGTCTCTGTGATGTTCTGGGCACATCTGGAGAGGACCTCAGCCAGCTGAAGGGCAGAAGGCAGCCTGGCTGATGAACGCCCCACCTCCAGCTCTGCTCCTCACAAGGGCCATTGCCACACACACACTCAAATACTAACACACACTCAGACACACTCACACACATGCACACTGCCCCACCCCTCCACGTTCCTGCACCCACACTCACCTCTGTACCCCAACACCCCCCACATACATACACACTCCCCACTACTCCTCTGTACCCAAACTACACCCACATCCCATAATTACCTCTACATCCCAAGTCTCTTCACATTCACCTCTGTATCCCAACTCTCTCCACACACTCATTTCTGTACCCCAACTCTCCACCCCAACTTTCCCCCACAAACACACCCCTCCACACCTCAACTCTCCCCACATGTCCACTCATCTCACACACTTACTTCAATACCCCAATTCTCCACACACGTCCACACATCCCACACACCCACATCCCATCTTTCCCCACAGGTCCACACACTCCCCACCACACCTACACCCCAACTCTCCCCCCACATCCCACATCTTTTCCATATTCCAATTCTCCCCACATACCTCACATCACTCCTTCACCCCAACTCTCCCCACACAACTTATATACACACTCCCCACCACACCTCCACTCACATACACCTCATGCTCACCCCCACATCTCTACACACCCCTACACCCTCCACATACACTCCCCGCCACACCACTACTCATCACCACGCCCTGCACACTCACCTCCACACCCTCTCCCTCCACAAACACTCCACACATGCTCCCCATCACATCCCTCCTCCTACATACACACACACTCTCACACCCCCCACAGCCGCAGCCTCACTCACAGTCCGCAGCCTGGACCTCAGATCTGCGACCCCGTTCAGCTCCTGCGTGTCAGGCCTCCCAGCCACGCCGGTGAACCTGGAGGGAGATTCAAGAAGAAGAGGTGAGGAAGAGAGGAGGCTCCTTAAAATTAATAATAATTTAAAAATAGAAGACAGCTCTGCCTCAGCTAGGAGACAGCTGAGGAGCGGGCAGAAAGCTCTGGTGACACCCGAGTAGCATTTTTAGGGCTGGCTGGCTGGCGGTGTCTCTGGAGAGTGTCATGGTGGAGACCTAAGAGCCAGTTTGGCGAGGTCCCTCCTACGCACTGAAGTTGTGGCGTTCGGAGGAATTAAAGAGAGACTGACGTGGACCCATCACCTTGGATCTATGAACCACTGCTGAGCACTTCAGATGCCTGGTGACTCCATACGCTACAGGGTAGAACTTCTTCATGAGGTTTTCTTGGCCGTAATCTTTATAAAAGCAGATTGCCAGGTTTTCCTTCTATGGTGCTGCTGGGTGAGTTTGAACTGCCAACCTTCCAGTTACTAGCTGAGCATAGTCAGGACCTCTCTAGTGACACGTTTGCTCACGACTCACTGTCATTGGGTTGGTTCCAACTCACAGCAGCCCTCCTTTGCTTTGCTTTGGTTAGGAAGCTCTAAGTCCTAACAGGAGGGAACTGCCCATCTCTTCTTCCTTGAAGTGGCTGGTGTATTTGAACTTCTGGAGACATGTGGCCTTCATGTTAGCTGCACAGTTTGCTACACTAAGTCCCCAGAGCTGCTTAGACTGACCCAAGACAGCTATTAACTCCCCAGTTAAAAACTGAGCGGTAACTAAAGGAAAAGAATGAAAATCCTTTTCAAGAAGCTGCATTTCAAGAATACCAACAGCTTACTGATAATCTACGCTGTAGACACATAGCCACCACAGTGTGGCAAGACCTAGAATATTAGCACCCTGGTGGCCCCAGGGAACTGACCCTGAAAAATCAACAGTGAACAATTACAGGGCAGCTGCTCATATGATGCTCATGTATCAACTCATTGATTCTTTGACAGAGAAAACATAATTGTACAGAGGAGTCCGACGGTCAGTCACCAGTAGACACTGCATATCTCAAAGGAGGCCTGGGCGCCAGAAAGGGATAAGCAGTGGCCAGGGACCCCAGGCCCCCAGGCCAGGGGCAGGCAGGCTGTCACTCCTGCAGCCCAGGAAAAGTCAGGGCTGGGCACTGGGGGAACTTTATCTACACATCTTTTTTTCTGCCCTGGAACTTACAAGGACCCACTCTTTGTCATTTTATTGGAGTTTAACCTCTTGAAAGAGGGTCCTTGTGGAGCAGTAGCTAAAGAGCATGATTGCTCACTGACAGGTCGGAGTTCGGACGCCACCGGCCATGCCCAGAGAGAAAGGTGCAGCCAGTCTACTTCTGTAAAGTTTACAGCCTAGGACACCCTGCGGGGCAGACCCACCCTGTACATGGGGTCACCGTGGGTTGTAACTGAAGGCTGGCAATACTCCACAGCAGCGGGCTTGGGTTTCGTGACCCCCTAAATGGTTACACACAAGGCTGGTAAGGGAAAGGTTGAAGGTTGGAGTCCAGCCTCAGAAGCAAGGCCTGGGGATCGACATTCTGAAAAATTGGTCCCTGAAAATGCTGTGGAGTTCTCTTCTATTCTGAAACAAAGGGGTTCATCATCATCAAGGTCAACTCCACAGCAACTGGCTTTAAACTTCTCCATGGCTTTCTCCTTCTACTTCTGCAGTACTGTTCAGGATCATTCTGGGATATTTTTCACTGTGACCATGACTTCAACAAACCTCACCAGCACCCCCATTGCCCTCAAATTTTACTCTTTTCCCCCATCTCTTCACAAGAACTCGCCCAAAGTATTCTCTTTTTGTCCAGCCCTAAAGCCCCACTTCTTTCAGGAAGGCCTCCATGATTGCCTGTACCCACCTCTGGTCTCCCCTCACTGCCTCCCCCCCAACATCCTGTCAGCCCTCATAGGTGCAGCTCTCAGGGTGAACCATTCAGAGGAGCACAGACCATTCTGTGGGCCTCTACCCACCTCTAGTCTCCCCTCACTGCCTCCCCCTGTCAGCCCTCACTGGCCTGGAAAGGGCTCTCAGGGTGAATCATTCAGGGAAGCATGGGCCATTCTGTGGGATGAGATCACATCTGTCTTTGGACCTGTGCCCTGGACAGAGCTCTGTTCACGGGATATTCGCTAACCTTGCTGACAGATCTTGCTCTATATGACCCTCAAGCCACCATTTGGAGAGGCTCAGCCTTGGCAGGGACTCTGTCATCCCATTGCCCCCTCCACCTGTCCTGTCCTACCATGTGCTGCCCAGGGGTTGGCAGCAGTGACTAGAGCGAGCCAAGTCCATTGCTAGGAAACTCCCTGTATTTCCCGAGGGTGAGGGCTGGGGACACGAGGGGTGGGGCAGCAGGCATGCTGGGCAGTCTCTGCCCCTCTGCTAGCACAGGTCTCCACAGGCCGGGAAAGGTTCAGGGATCTGTCCCTGTATTTCTCATCTCCTAACCCTCCGGCATGTGGTCCTCCTTCTCTCTACTATCCTCCTCCCTCAATTAACCCAGTTGAGGGGGGCTGAGGAGAGCTAAGGGTCAGAAGGGGGCTGAGGGATCAGATGGGGGTTGAGGGGTTGGGAGGGGACTGAGGAGTCAGGAGAGGGCTGAGTTCGGGGTCAGACTCTGCCCGAGGCAGCACACCTACCTCTCAGTGCCCAGGCTGCTGCCAAGGAAGAGGAGGGCTGTGCGCGTGACCTCCAGCGTCCGCCTGCATGTGGCCTGAAGCACCTCACTGCCCAGGGAGAACCGAGTCAGGGGTCTGCTCCCAGCTCCCGGGGAGGCATGGACACAGTCTGGGTTGCCTGCTGTTTACCTGCCCACCCTTGTCCTTGGGGTACTCACCCCACCCAGTGCAGTCCCCGAAGCATCATCTCCTGCCCATCCAGCAGGGTCTGTGCGAGCCGCAGGGCCTGGTAGCCAGCGCCCAGCACACCCTGAAACACACAGCGGGCAGGTCAGTCCCCTACCTCCTGCCCTGGGGACTCCTTCCCGGCCACCTGTGGCCCCTCACCTTGGCAGTGCTGTAATCGGCCTGTAGGTCCACTTTGGGGACAAACTTGGGGATGTCCAGAGCAGCTGCAGACAAAGATCCTGCCTCAGAGGCCAGCTTCCCTTTATTCCAGCTCCCAGCCACCCATCCCCCCATCTTCCACCTCAGGCTCCCTCGCTCTTCAGAGCCCCCCACATGCCAAGCCTGACCCAGCCTCTACCTCCAAGGCACTAACATAGCAGCTGTGGTCCTTCATTGCCTCCTAGCGTCCACTTTGGGGAACTTGGCCCTGCTTCCTGAGGCCCCATCTCAGCAGACACAAAATGGTCCCCAAATCATCCTTATTTCTATCAATGGCTTTCAAGGTTAATTCCCCTTCCCAACCTTGGAGACCCAAAGAAAGAGGATGAAACTGGAACTGTCCAAAGGAGGAGGATATTTTTGTTAGGAGCTAGGAATGGATCAATCCCAACCCAGTTACCTCCTTTTCTCTAGAGAAGCTCCGAACCCTGATACCTCCCCAGCTCTAGAGAAGCTCTGAACCCTGATGTCTCCCCTTCTCTAGAGAGGCTCAGGCTCCTGCTTCCTCCAACAAACACACCCAAGACCGCCCCAGTGTTTGTGGAGGGAATATTTGTCTCAGGCTTTTACCCATCTCCCCACTGGAAGCTGCGGAGTTCCCTTCACAGTGCAAAGCTCAGGTCACACGGCATGGACAGGTACACATGGAGTCAGAACCAGTCCTGCCAGCTGGACCCAGAGACCCAGGGAGAGGACTAAGCAATGTCCTGGGCTGCTGACGGCTGTGTTCTGAGGAGACTCAGAGGGCAGAAGAGAGCCAGCCACGATGGTTCGACTCACGGTCCCTGAAGGGCAGCCCCTTGGGGGTCTCGCTGGCCATGCTGAACAGGGTCAGGGGGCTGCTTGCTGTGGTGTGGGTGATGTGCTGGGCTGAGAGGCTGGGCTCGAGGACACAGAGGTGGCCCTCAAAGAGGTACTCCTGGTTCTGGGGAGCCACACTCGTCTGCTTGTAAACGGCCTCCAGAAAGATGGCAATCCTAGACACACAGGGAACAGGGGAGGACAGGAGGTATCAGGGTGGGCACAGCAGGTGGGATGAGGGGTTCAGAAGACCAAGTCCCAGTGAAGACTGGTGTGTGGAGAAGGCTCAGCTCTGTAGAGGAAGGAATGGGGTGCTTTGCCCTTTTATCCAGGGTGGAGACACAAAGTTGTTATGGCAGATGGAGGCAGAGTGGAACAGAATCCCCCACCACCGTCCACTCGACAGGGACTCCCAGCCAGCCTGGGGGACAGAGACTGCCCAGAGGGGCCAGGGCTGCAAATCTTTATAGGAGCAGATTGTCTCATCTTTTTCCTGTGGATGATTCACCCAGATGCTTTATCCACAGAGCCACCAGAGCTCCTTGAATAGAACCCAAGGGTCCCAATGTCTTTGTTGTTGTTAGATGCTATGGAGGTGAGTACGACTCATAGAGACCCTATGAACAACAGACCTGAATCCCATCCTCTCCTGTGCCACCCTCACCGTCTCTGATACACTTGAACCCAGTGTTGCAGCCACTATCAATCCATCTCGATGGGGGTCTTCCTCTCTTTCACTGACCCTGCACCCTTCCAAGCATGATATCGTTTTCCAAAGAACTGCCTCTCCTAGCAACACGCCCAAAGAATGAGAGATGAAGCTTTGCCATCTTTGACTCTAAGGAGCACTCTGGGTGCTCCCTTTCCAAGACATACTTGTTCATTCTTTTTGCAGTCCATGCATGGGCTATTCAGTACTCCTCTCCAACACCACAGTCCAAAGGCATCAATTCTTATGTCATCCTTAGTCACTGTCCAGCTCTCAGATGCACAAGTGATTGAAAAGAACATGCCCCGAATCAGGCTCACCTTAGTCTCCAAACTGACATCCTTGCTCTTCAACATTTTGGAGTGATCCCTATGACAGCGGACTTGCCCAAATTAACGTTTCTCCTTATCTCCTGACAGCTGGTACCAAAGGTGTTGATTGCTTTGATGTCTTTCTACCACATCTCACTAAAATTCACCTTGTCCCAAAAACTGCTTCAGGAATAAAGGGTTCTATCTCAAGACATCAGGCTGCTAGCACATTGGCCAGCAGTTTGAGTCCACCAGCCACTCCCAGGGAGAAAGATGGGCAGTCTCTGTCAATAAAGATTTACAGTCTTGGAATTGCCATAGAGAGTTGCTCTGGGTCAGGATCGAGTAGATAATAGGAGGTGTGGATGAGCAAACTCATTTGGGCAATGACCCCCTCCCACTTTCTGGAAGACTCAAGGCATATTAGCATACTCAAGTTATCCAACGCTCTGAAGCCCACAGTCAAGAAAGCCATTCAGTTTTAACTTGGTGCATTTAGTAATTTTCGAAGTTAATGGGTTTGGATCCTGAAGCTTTTATATCTAAACACACCACGGAATGTGCTTTGGGAGGTGCTGGATTCGATACAGCCATCCACTGTGACCATGGGGCAAAGGGGGGGCTCTCCTGACACGCTCCCGCAACACGGCTCCCCCAATATGGCTCCACTTACGTGTTGTGGGCGTGGATGTAGACGTGATGCAGGACTGCCTGGGACAGCGAGAAAACGTGGACCACGACACGCTGCAGGATGTCGCTGGTCTCCGCGAAGAACTGGTCGAAGCCCCAGCACTTGGCCTGCTCCACCTCCAGGATGTTGGCCAGGATGGGCACCAGCTGGTTCTGCAGCCCCCTGGGGGCAAGACGGGGGACACCGGTAGGGGTCAGAGCCCAGCCAGCTCTCCCTCCTCAGGCCCAAAGCAAGGCCCCAACCATCAAGTAGACCTAACTGATGGCGACCATATGTGCAGAGTAGACCTGGGCTCTGTGGGGTTCTAGCTGTCATCTTTGTGGGTGGGGATAACCAGGCCTTTCTTCCAAGGTGCCTCTGGGTAGGGAGGACCCACTAGGCTTTCAGTTAGTATTCCGTGCTGACAGTGTATACCACAGCATGGTAGGGGCAGTACAGAAGTGTGTCCTGAGGAGGTGGGACCAAGATGGCAGGGTCAGGGATGAGTGGAGGGCCATCCCAGCATCCAGAAGGGAAAACAGCCCAGTGAAGGAACTTGATGTGCCTGAAGCTGCAGTGTGCCAGGACCTGCCCGGCCAGGCCTCCGGAGCCAGGGCTCTCGGCTGAGTGGTCATCCACAGACTGTCTGTCCACCTCCCACCTCCCAGGGTCCCACTCACACAGACAGCCGGCAGGTAATGGGGAGTGTGTAGCTCCACTCGAGAGGCCCATTTTCCAGCCGTTGAGTCCCTGCAATGGCTCCAGCCGGCTTCTCTGTGGTAATCCGGTACCTGGGTAAGGGGGACAGATGTCAGTGGGACTCCGGGCTTCAAGAGGATGACAAACTCAACCCGGAGGGCTGGTTCCGTCACCCAGCGGTGAAGAGGCTACTGAATGCATGGAATTTGACAATCTCGACTCTTGAGATCCCTTGCCTTGGGGTGCTCCAGATGGTCAGACCTCTCCCAGTCTGCTGTTTCACCCGCTCTCCACACACTCCCTGTCAGCCTGCCTCCACCTCTCCTGGCACCCATAGCCACACCCTCCCACTTTGCCCTTCTCGTTCCTCACACAACGTGGCCCCTCAGCTGAGGACGGGTACAGCAGCCTGCTGGCTGATCCTTCTAATATCTCTTGCTCCTGAGAACCACTTGTTGTTGCTGTGTTTTGTCGAGTTGGAACTGACCCACGGCTAACCCTCCAGTGCGTTTCCAGAGGCAGTAAATCACACAGGAGAAGAGTGCCCATCTTCCTCCCATGGAGCAGCTGGTGGATTCGAACCGCGTGCTTTTGGGCAGGGAGCACAGCTGCGACCATAGCTCCATCCGGGGAGCCACTATTCCTGTCACCATCTCAATGGAGTGGTGCACCGCGAGTTCAACTGCTACCCAAAAGCAGTGTGGTGCTGATGGTTCGAATCCAGCAGTGGCTTCGAGGGAGATGGACAGGCAACCTCCTCCTGTGTGATGTATGTGTGTGTATGTAAGAATTTAGTTTCATTTCCCAGCCATTATTAGATGTTGCAGATAAAAAGAAAATCCTTCCAGACTGTTACCTCAATACTGTTGCACCGTGAGTTTGTATTAAGTGATAGCTAACGTGCACTTTTCTTGCTTCTGACGTGTGCATTCTCATTGTCTCTGTCTCGCAGACTTTGAGGCATTAAACATCAGTGTGCAGCCTTTCTGGACTCACGTAGCTTTGCTTCATCTTTGTAAAGGTGCAAAGCCCTGAGGTGGGGAGCTCCCTTGAGGGTGTGAATAATTGGAACGAGAGGCCTTCTGACCTCCAGCCATCCTCCTGTGTGATCTTTAACCTCAGAAACTTGCTGGAGGGTCAGCGGTGAGTTGGTTCTGACTCAATGGCAATGAGTGTTCAATGATTCTACCTTAGACAGCAGGAAACCCGGGGCCGGGGAGCCCTGTTCGTGCCCCACCTTTGCCTGGAAATAGCTCTGACCTGAGACAAAATCTATTTAAGCCTCAGTTGAGGTGCAGTGGGCAGTAAAGGTGTTTGCTAGTTGTCATGTACTGGAGAGTCAGGACCTCCCCGTAGCAGGCCCTCCAGCAGGCTTTCAGAGCAGGATGTGGCTCAGGAGGAGACTGTCATTCTCCCATGGAGCAGCTGGTGGATTTGAACCACATGCCTTCAGACTGGTAGTGCAGCTCCTTACCCTGGGCCCACCAGAGCTCCCTAGCAAAGGCGGAGGGAGTTAAAGAGAAGCACTGATTGGCATAAAACCTCCAATCCACTGCCAGTGAGCTGATGCCGACTCACAATTACCCTCGAGATCTGAGTAGCACTGTCCCCCTGGGGTTCTGAGGCCGTAAACAATTTCAGGAGCGGAGTGGCTCGCCTTTCTCCTGTGCAGCGGCTAATGGGTTCAAATGGCCCATCTTTGGGCTAGCAGCCCTCCACTGAGTAAAGTGCAGGGCCACAGGGCTGTCATTTCCCCCACAGGGGATGACTGTCCCACTGGGCCGAGGTCAGCTGTCAGCATCTTGCCCAAGTCATGGGTGGCAGGGGGAACCAGAGAACTAGGGTTTGAGGGGGAACGGGGTGGCGATGTTTTTCTAGAGACCCGACAGGGGCCCATGGGAGAGAAGGGCTCGATGTGTGCCCAGCGCTCTGCGCCCACCGTACATGATCTCCTTGTTGCGCCGCGGCCCACCAAAGGGGGTGAAGGGCAGGCTGCCGGTGGCCGCATGGTACAGGGTCACCCCGATGCTCCAGAGGTCCACTGTCACCCCAAACGTCTTCTGCTGGGGCTTTCGAAGGACCGCCCGCTCATACATGTCGGGGTGCTGAGGAGAGAGGGGTAGAGAGGGGCTCCCATCAGATTCCCTTACAACGCCTTCAATGAAAACAGAACCATGTCCTTTGCATCCTCGCAGACGGAGCCTTCTGCGCGGAACAAGGTTACCGTTGAGCAGCCTTGAAAGTTGCTGGGTAGGTAGATTCTGAGACCTCTCCAAGCGTGACACAGCAGAACTGCTCCTTAGCCTGTGTCCATTGTTATCTCTACGGCAGCAGACCGCCAGGCCTGTCTCCCGTGGTACCACTGGGTGGATCTGAATCACCAACATTTAGGTTTGCAGCTGAGCTGTGCTGCCTCTGGACTTCCGCAATCAACCTGACAGGTAACTTTATGTTAATAGGGGACTTTATGCAACCACCTAAGTGGGGGTCTGGTTTGTCTCTTCAGAGCATTCTATCTGCCTGTCCTATGCCTTAGAAAGTGGGGACCAGCTGCTTCTGATTTGCAGTGTCAGCTCAAGGCATTTACTACACAGACAGACTTGGGGACCTCCAGCTTGGGGTAGGATCCTCAACGCCTCACTCACCAGGTATTCCTCAGTCCCATAGACCGAGATGAACTTCTCATCATCATCCAGCTCCCGGGCGGCCCCGAAGTCTGTCAGTTTGTAGATGCTCTGGCCCTCGTCGCCCACGAGACGCATGATGTTCCCAGGCTTGATGTCCCGGTGGACGATGCCATTCTCACGCAGGTGGTTCATGCCAGCCACTGTGGATGGATGGCGGGCTGCTGGGGGCGTGGGCTGGAACCACGCAGGTCTGAGGCGTGGCTTTGTGGGGCAGCGTGCTCAGATCCACACAGACGGGGGACCCAGGGGTGACCAAGCCAGTGGAATGGCAGAACAGAGACGGGCACAGGGCAAGGAGGGAGGTGCCAGGATGCTGAGTACCAAGGCGGACTCTAAGAACTGATGGAGGGGCAGAGACGAGTCTTCAGTTGCAGAGGGAAGAACCTGGCTTAGAGGAGAAGGCATGGCATCCATTTCCACAATGCCTTTGTTTTCTTTCTAAGTGGGATTTTTTTAACTTAAAAAATTGAAGAGAATAAGGTTTTAATTCTTTTTTTAAACCCTCAAACTCATAGTTAGCTGTCCCATCAAAACTGACTCATACTTGAACTGCTAGTGAGTTTTCAGGAGGCTGTAAATCACACAGGAGCCTGCCCACTTTTCTCGCACAGAGCCGCTGGTGGATAGAACCACTAGAGCAGTGTGTGTTTGGGTTAACACTCCTCGGAGGCCCCTGAGGGTTTGATTTTACTCACTCATTGCCATGGACAGCCAAAGAAACAAACAAATATGTCCTGGATTGGGTGCAGCCAGAGTGCTCTTTGGAGGCAAGGATGATGAGGTAAGGATGATGCCTCACATACCTCAGGCATGGTGCTATTCCTTGGAGAGGGACATGATGCTCGGAAAGGCAGAGGGTCAGTGAAGGAGAGGAAGACCCTCAAACCAGGGGGACTGAGGCGTTGAATGCCGCAACGGGCTCTAGTGAATCAGCAAGTGTGAGGATGGCACAGGATAGGACTGGGTTTAGATCTATCATTTATAGGTTTACCATGAGTCAAATTCAACTTGATGGCACCTAACAACAACGTTGCCATGGAGTCAGACTCAACTCATAGCTGAACCTCCAGCAGGTTTTCAGAGGCTGTAGATCACACGAGAAGAGAATGCCCACCTTTTCCCCCCAGGAGCAGTCGGTAGACTTGAAACATCAGCCTCTGGGTTGGCAGCACAGCTTCTTACCCAGTAGGTGACCATTTGTAATCACATGACTCAATTGTAAGGAACGTTAAAAAACAAAATGTCTATGAATGACGGAATGGAAAACCAATATGCTTTGCAAACTCTTACTCAAATAAATTGCAAAAAGGTTGAAGAAAAAGTCAAAGGACATAAAAATAGATCATTTTTTGAAGGGATCAATTGCACACTCTCCCAATCCTGTAAATCAGCATTTTGAAATTGAACGGTGAGACACGGGGGCCCTGCCACCAGCAGTCTCGCCCAGCCTTCTCTGAGGATGAGGCTCCTTGCGTCCCTCTCTGTCTGGATGTTTGTTTCAGGAATGTTACATCCTCCTGGGACTTTATCCAGTGCTGAGGGCTGGGCCTGGGGCTGGCCTGAGGTGGGGGGCTCCTGCAGCGGGCCTCAGGGAAGCTCACCCACACAGCGCAGCACCACCAGGAACTCGTCCTCAGGCAGCCCGAAGGCGTTCTCCGGGCTCTCGAGCACGCTCAGCAGGCTCCCGCTGGAGCAGTACTCCATCACCAGAACCTTCTGCCGGCTGCCTCCCTGCGGATGGACAGAGCGGGGCCTGGAGGTCACCACTTCTCCCACCCAGGCTTGTGGCCCAGGGCCCAGCTCTCTCAAGACATGGCAGCTCAGCCTAGGGTCCAAAGCTCCCAATTATTAAGCTCTTGATTCTCACTTGGTTTTTTCACTTTCCCTCCTTATTTATGTTCTATCCTGGAACCCAGCATCACTTTCTCCAGGAAGCCCTCTCTGATTATGCCCCTTCCCTATGTGTCACCCTCCTCCTGGTATTCTTTTTTAAAAGCTTGAGGCAGCTAAGGGACCTCTGGTGACCTAGTGGCGAGAAGCTGGACAGCAATCTCAGAGGTACGCAGTTCAACTCCATCAGATGCTCTGCTGGAGAAGAAGGGGAAATTTCCTCCTGTGCCAGTTAGATCTGATTTGACTGTACAAATAAAACAAAAGCAAAAAAAAAACAAAAAACAAAACCCAAAACAAAAGCAAAACAAAACCCCCCGAAACTTAAAAAAAAGTTTAATAAAAAACCAAAAACAACCCCCAAACTTGAGGCAGATAAGGGGTAAAATCTCAGGGCTCCAGAAGTGGCACCTGCTGGTATTCTTTATTCCTCTTAGAGTCCCTAGCTGGTGCAAATGGCTAACGCGCTTGACTGCTAGTGAAAAGGTTGACTGTTCAAGTTCACCTAGACATGCCTCGGAAGAAAGGCCTGGCGATCTCCTTAAAAAAAAAATTAGTCTTGGGAAAACTCCTCCAGGACACAGTTCTATTCTGACACACCTGGTGTCACTGGGTCAGAATCAGATTATTTGGTATGGGGCAGTGGCTCTGGCTGGCCAGCTGCTGAGCGTGAGATAAGGTGTCTGTTATTGGGTGATCCTATTCTCACACCCTATGGGGTCAAGTACGACTGTCCTCCTCTGACCACGCCCTGGACCCACCGTCTCCTCCACTGCGAACAGCTTGACGATGTTCTGGTGGCTCAGTTTCCGCAGCACCTCAAACTCCCGCACCTGCACCTCAGGGGGCCGAAGGTAGCTGGCATTGTTGAAGACCTTCACAGCAACCAGCTCCCCAGATTTCTGCATGGAGGAGGGGTGACGGGAGGGGGACAACATGGAAATCACAGCCGCCCTCACTCCTGTCCCATCCTGGGGCGCAGCTCCTGCTCCCACATCTCATTTTCTCTTTCACTGCTAGCCTGGCCCCTGAGGTGAGCAGGGGCAGCCTGGGGGGACCAGAGTTCTCACCCTCGGCTCCTTCCCCTCCTGGCAGATGGTAGCCAGGCAACAGCTGACACTCTGCAGGCGATTTACTGTCACTTTACTATGACAGAGTCCTCACAGGGTGCAAATGGCCAACCTGCTCAGCTCTTGTCAAGTTAGAGGTTCAGAGGTACCTAGGAAGAAAGTCCTGGCAATCTACATCTGAAACGCCAGCCACAGAAAGCCTTGCAGGAGCAATTCTACCCTCATGCACATGGGTCACCGTGAGTCAGAAGGGGACTCAAAGACAATTGGTTTCATCATTGCTGTCATTAGTGATGGTTGCGGCCATGATAGCTAACGCTCACTGTTGCTGGAGGCAGAACCAGAACTGGAATCTGCTCTGTTTGGTTCCCGCTGCCCAGTGTATGCCACGTGGTAGATCCTAACCCAGCCCTGCTGAAAGCTTACAACCATTCATTCCAAGCCAGTCCTGTTCCTCTCTCTGCTCTCACCCTCCCCTGGATGCTGGGGGGCTTCTGCCCTGGGGTTTGCCTTGTGCTTCCAGCTCTGTTCACCCATTCCCAAGCCCTGCCTGACAGTCACTTGGGTCCCCACACCCCTGCTCAAGCCCCAACACCCTGACACCCAGGGTGCGCAGAGCAAAGTGCAGTGGCCTCAGCCTGGCCACAGCCATGCTCCAAGCCTGCTGCGGGCAGAATCGGCTGGATGTGGCGGGGAGCAGGCTCCAGCCAGGACTGCCCTGTACCTTGTTGCGAGCCTTGTACACACTGGCGGTAGCCCCCTGGCCCAGCAGGTCATTCGTGTGCCACAGGTAGTTGGCGGTGCTTTGCATCTCTGCTCCTGCTGGCCAGCCACCTTCTGCAGAGAAAAAGAGAGTGTGGGGGCCTGGGCTCCCTAAGGACACCTCCATTTTCTGGCCAGTAGCTATGTCCTGGGAAGGGTTTCTTGTGACCACAGCAAGGGAGTGTGATGCAGTGGGTCAAATAACTACCCCCTAAAACACAACACAGTGGAGCTTGTGCCTGTCTCACCCACCACCTTCTCATGTCCCTTCCAGACAGGCCACTGTGCAGACACAAACCTTGTCCCTCTATCACCTTTCCCTGTTCCTGGCAGCGGGCCTAGGACTGTCCCAGGAAGCAGACACAGTGTTGGCGGGAGTGCCCCGGCCAGGCAGCATCAGCCACACCACCACAAATCTCCAGGATTGCAACACCAGCCAGGAGGCCCTCCCCACGCACTCCACTCACAGGGCCCCGCCACTTCCTGCTGCTGTGAGCTAACAGCTGCTCCCTGGGTCGGCAGGCCAGGCCTCCTCTGCTCCAGAGAGGGCCAGGGCTGCGGAGTGAATACGTGTGGACATGAGCGTGTGTGCACGCGTGAGGGTGCTTCTGTGCATGTGTGTGTGTGTGTGAATGTGTGGGTGAGTGCTAATGAATGCAAGTGTCTGTGCATGTGTGAGGGAGCGTCTGCATGTGTGCACATGGGGGATGTTGGGGAGACCAGGCTAGTAAATCCCTGGGAGGATATGAAAGCCCTCTGTAGATGCCTTCTCCATCCTCCTCTCTCCAATGATCAGCTCCTTTAAGTCAGTTCATTCCAGAGAAGTTGAACTCTATGTATTTTCAAAAAAAGGGAGCCCCTGCTGGTCTTTAAGGGATAACTTGGGGTGGGGGAGACTAAGTAGGGTCTCCATCCTTGAAATACTCTCAGGTAGGGCTGGCCAAGATGGGGTGATGGGGTGTCCTCCTGTTTTGACATCCTGTAGGCTCTCAGCCTCTCTCTCTCTCTCTCTCTCTCACACACACACACACACACACACACACACACACACACACACACACTCCCCCCCCATCTTTCTTAGAAATGTCAATCCCTGAGAAAGGCTGAATAGTATGTTGATGTTTCCTTTACAGAAGCAGTTTAGGTGGTGAATAACATCCTGGAGATGGGGGGATGAGGTCCCAGGAGCCCAGCAGTGTCAGTCTGTCAGGTTTTTCTCCCAGGCCAGGGGAGCTGGGAGGTGTGCCTAAGGGGTGGCTAAGATAGCTCACCCAGAGATCAAAGCAAGTGGCCCAGCCCTGGGAGCTGGTGGCAGCAGATTCCACCCCTTCAAAATCATGGAGTCACTGGAATGCTGGGGCTGGGGACAGCTAAAGGTCCTGTTGGGGGGGTATCCTGCAGGGCTGTGCTGGGAGCTTTGAGAGGACTCAGTGATACCCAGTGGGCATTGAATGAATGGTCAGGAGGCCTGGAGCGCAGAGCCAGCCGCCCCACCCACTGCCTCCCACAACCTCTCATCTGGCCAGTTGGGCACTTACCTCTGAGCAGCTGGGATCAGGCAGAGGCTCCGTGCAGTGAGGGTGTGTTAAACTTGTCTGTGGCAAGTCCAGGGGTTGAGCTACACCGGAAAGAGGAGGGCAGTTGAGAGACACTCCTCCTTGTGGTGGTGTTAGTGTCTCTGCCTCCATCAAAGGCCTCAGCCCCAGCCCTTTAACCCTTTCCTGTTTGTCACCCTCCCCCCAGGGCTGGGGGTTTCCAGCCCAACTCTCTAGTTGTTCCTGAGACAGGGAAAATGGTCTTCAACACTTCCATGAGAAGACTGGGGAGAAAGACGCCTCCCCGGAAAAGGCAGGTGGGAGGGAGGCTGAGCCGACCCAGGAGGGGAATGCTGGTGGTGGTGGGCAGTCCCCTTTTTGCCTCATCCATTTGCCCCTCATGGGTTTCCAAAGGTAAGATGCTCCAGGGTCCCAGGCAGCCAAGAGAGACAGGAGGGGATGATGGGTCCAGAGAGCCACTGGAGACACATCCTGCACCCCGCTGAGACCCCAGCTGAGGTCTGAGCTGCCTGCTGCTGCTGCCTGCCGCTGTCCCCTCTCTGCTCTTCCTCAGGGACCACACACACTCACCCCATCTCCGTGTGGGGATGTAGGCTTGGGAGGGGTGGCGCTTCCAGAACTTTCAAGGCTCGCTATCATTCACGGGCAGTACCCACAGCATCCTGGTGGCCTTGAGACCTAGAGACCTGTAGGGGAGGCCAGCTGTGATGACTTTGTGTGGCCACCAGGAACTGGACTGCAGGGTTTCCTGCAGCCTCTCTCTGGCGGCCAGACACCCAGCTCAGCTCAGGCAGGCCTGCAGCTTTCTTCCACTTCCTGATTTCGTTCTGTCTCTCCCTTAAAGAGACAGCAGCAGCCCGGGCAGAGCTGAGCCAGAGCCACCAGGCTCTAGCAGGAAGAGGAAAGAGGATACTCCAAGTGACAAGAAGTGGCCATAGGGTCAGAGTCTGAGCCACAAGAGGCCAGGTAAGGTCCATCTGGTTGTGGCAGCCCACTGGGTGCTGTTTGGGCTTTCCTGCAGTTCATAGGAGCAAGAAATGCCATGCTGTGCCCCAGACCACAGGCAGGTTGGGCCAGTTAACCAAGGAGAAAGGCCTGGGAAGCCCTGGTTCCCTGACTGGAACTCCAGAGATCTGGGAGGACCGGGGACTCAGCTTGACCACATCCAAGGATCTGACTTTCCCAAAGAGCCCACAGAGGCCTCAGAAGAAACTGGGGACCTTGACAACAGCAGTCACTCCAGCTTTCCAGCCAGTTTTCTCAACTTGTAACTGTCAAGTCCAACTTACACAGGTGTTTCCAGTTATAAGTCTTTACAGGTGAACACTGGTCGTTTAGCTCCCACCTCAGAGCAGATGGTTGATTCGAACCGCTGACCTTTGAGTTAGCAGCCTAATATCTTACCATGCCACCAGAGGGATCCATTGGTGAGAGGATCCTCACAGGTGTTCTTTGAGTTGTGTGGATGAGAGGAAACAATTTATTCTGATACCCTTGGGAAACTGGAAAATGCTTTGTGGATAGGCACTGAGGTCCACACCCCCTTAGAAGTCCTTTCTCACGATCTTCAGCCTCTGCTGTGGGTGGAACCCAGATATGCCAGCTTCTCACTTAGGGCTCAGTGTTCTAAATCAAATTCCCCAGGGGTGGGGAGAGAATGTCCTGGCTCTGGCCAGTTCTGAGAAGGCAGCTGGGTAAGAAATGGTTAAAAGCAGGAAATTCCATGTTTCTCCTGAATGTTGGAAGGGACTTTCCCATGACAGCACCTGGTGGTTTCCTCTGCCAGCCCCACCCGTACCCTAGTGACACCAGAACAGGAGTCAGACTGAGAGGTGAGGTGCCTTCTGCTCAGAGAGGAGCACTTGCTGTGAACACCGGCTGGAACATCCTACACAAAGGTGCTTCATAGCCGGTCCTCAGGGCAGGGCTGAGGCCCTCAGGCCCTTCATCCAATATCCCTGGCTTTCCACCTGCCTGGCCTCTTGCACTTCTTGGTGCATCTATGTTGGGAGGGCCCTGTGATTTCCAGGCTAAAGTATTTCATTGGGCCTCTCCTGGGACTCTGTGATTCTATTAGACATGGTGGTGGCTGTAAGATCCTCCCCACCCCCCACCCCGCCCTGAGTGTCCATCGTGAGCAGAGCCCCCTGCTGGCCCTCACGGGACATGCAGCTTAAGTTAGAAAACCATCTTTGCCATTTTTTTAAAAAACAAAACATTTATTGTGCTTTCAAATGTCTTCAACCTATTAAAGGTTCAAATGAGTTGCCATTTTAAGGATTCCTTGAGTGGTTAGGGAGCTCCAGTGGAGTGTTGTTCAATTGTTTGTTGTATGCCACGGAGTAGGTGACAACATCTCGCTGACTTTCCTGTGGGTTTTCAGAGGCAGTATATCTGGTGGTTTCTTGTTGTGTACCATTGAGTTGGAACTGACTCATAGCTGACATTCTGGAGGGTTTTGAGACACAGTTAATCGTACCTGAGGAGAGTGCCCATCTTTCTCCCAGGTAGCAGCCTGTGGCCTTAAACAGTGCCTTTGGGATTGCAGCACAGCTTCTTACCACTAGGAGTAGTGCTACCAACACGAAGGTGGTGGTGGTTGTTACATGCTGTCGAATTGCTTGTGACTCATAGCGACTCTATGTACAAGAGCCCTAAACCTGGGCAGCCCTATCCTGTGCCAACCTCACCGTCTCCAACACACTCACTCCCACCACCCCAATCACAGAATTGATCCATCTCATCGAGGGTCTTCCTCTCCTGCGCTGTCCCTCCACTCTTCCAAGCATGATGTCCCTCTCCAAGGACCAGTCCCTCCTTGCAACATGCCCAAAGTATGTCAGACGAAGCTTCAGAATCCTTGACTCCAAGGAGCATTCCGGCTTCACCCTCTCCAGGGCAAACCTGTTTGTTCTCCTAGCAGTCCATGGTATATTCAACACTGTTCTCCAGTACCACAGCTCAAAGGCATCAATTCTCTTTCTATCATCCCTAGTCACTGTCCAACTCTCTGATGCATAGCACGTAATTGTAGACTATAGCCTGGATCAGGCGCACCTTAGTCTTCAGCCTGACATCATTGCTCTTCAGCACTCTTGAGAGGTCCCTCACAGCTGACTTTCCCAATGTAATTCGTCTCCTGATTTCCTAGTTGCTGTTACCAAGAGTGTTGTCTGTGGAGCCAAGTAAACTAAAACTGTTAACTATCTCAATCTCTTCAACATCCCTCTGATGCTGCCAATTGGCCCAGTGGTGAGAATCTTTGTTTTCTTGATGTTGAACTTCAATCCAAACACGAACGTACACAGTTCAAATATCCTGGCTGAGAAAAAGTTGGGTAATCTCCTCCCCTGCAATTTATTGCCTCTGAAAACCCACTGGAGGATCAGCTATGAGTAGGTTCCAACTCGCTGGTGCTTGATGGTTACATCAGCTTGGGCGGTTGTTGTTGTTAGTTGCCATGGAATGGCCCACGACTCATGGTGACCCAATA